CTCCCTCCTCCTCCCTCCTCCTCCCTTCTCCTCCCTCCCTCCTCCCCCCTCCTCCCTCCTCCTCCCTCCTCCTCCCTCCTCCTCCCACCTCCTCCTCCCTCTCCCCGCTATTATATGTAATTGTCCAGCACCACCCCACCATCCAGGGGAAGTGCCTTCTCTGACCTCAGTGTTACCAAACTGCCCTCCAAAGGCTAGTGGGGCCGATGGGAGGCCCTGCCTAGGGAGAAGGCCCGGCTCTGCTGTCCCCAGAAACCATGTAGAAGGGCTACAGGCAGATGACCCCCAGCAGGAGACAGTCCCCAGGGCACCGGCCAGGACACCCCACCCAGAGGGGCAGGCACTCACTGTCCTCTATCTTGTCGCTGAAGGGGTCAGTCCTCAGCAAGGGCGGGGTGACCTTGAGGGGTTCTGGGAGCTTCACGAGGGCAGAGCCGCCCCAGAAAGGGTTAAGGAAGGGCGGGGGCGGCTCGGTGTCCATGTCCATTTCCTGCATTCGCATGTAGGCCTCCAGCAGCAACAGGTCGTTGGTCTTCTTCTCGATGAGGGCTGCGAGAGAGCGGGGGGGGGCGTGGGGTGGGGTGGCTGTGGGGACCTGCCTGCGAAAGCCCCCCAGGACCCGCTTTCTCTGGGTCACACCCTGTGGTCCCCCTTGAGAAGCAAAAACAGAACCTCTGACTCATGAAGCAAGATGGACACACAGCCTGGACACCCGGGGTGCAGATCTCGCCAGGAGGGACACTAGAAAAAGAACATCCTGAAGGCTCCTCAGGGGGCCATAGTGAAAGAAGGATTGAGACGTGGGTTAGACGGAGAATTGGGAACTGGGAAGGGGGAAGAGCCCAGCCTTAAACTCTTTTCCCCAATCTGCACTCTGTGCTGGTCGCTGGGTCCTTGCTCATGCAGTTCCTTCTGCCTGGGATGCTGTTTCCTACAGCCCTCCCTGAGCAACGGCCTGGCGTTTGAAGAGTTCTGGGGAGCAGTCCCTCCTTCCGCGCGTGCATGGAGGAACAAGCCAGGGGAGGGTGGATTCCAGGGACCTCGCCATCTGGGGGAAGTGCCTTCTCTGATCTCAGTAACTCCTGGATTTGGATCATTTAAAAAACAACAACAACAAAATGCACACACCCCAAACTGATTCTATCTAAAAATCAGACCAGAAATATTCGCAGCTGAACTGTGCTACCGGCTCTCGGGAACCTCATAGCCTCGGATAGAAAAAGCTTTCTCTACTCACAAACGGGGAATGTCAAATCACAGCACTCCCAGGAGCAGGGGTGACAGGGTAGCTTCACATGGGGCAGTGCAGGGAGGTCTCACGGGAGAAAAGGACACACACTGAGGTCTGAGAATGAGGAGAAACTGGGCACATGGACCAGTGTTCCAGAAACAGCCTGGGCAAAGGCCCTGAGGCAGGAACTGAGATGTGGTGGTGAGGTGGCCAGCATCTTGGAACTTGGATCTCAAGGATCCCACCACCAGGACCTGGTCAGGGTGGCCCACCCTGGACGGTTGATCATGTGGTTTCTGAACGGATGTTTCTCTCTGTGCTGCTTTCACCTTGAACCCTTTCACTGAGATCAACTGTAGCCATAAGTACCACTATGTGCTATGCCTGTAAATCCTTGTAACCCACCACTAACCAGATTCTATGAAGAATCTCAGGGTCAACTCTAAGAGCAATGAAGCCATTCACTCCAAGTGGACTCCATCGGGGTAGGTGTGCCCTCCCTCTGCACCCTGAGCTCAGGGCCCTGCCTAGAAACGCAGGCAACAGTCACCAGGCATTTGCTACACTAGGCACCGTTCTGTACACTTTATTTCCTCCTTTTCAATTGGTGTGCCTTTTATTTCTTTTTCTTGCCTTATTGCATCGTCTAGGACCTCACTATGACATTGAATAAGAATAGAGAGCAAAAGCTTTGCTTTGCTCCTTATCTTAGAAGAAAGATATTCAGCTTTTTACCATTAAGTATGAGGTTAGCTGTGGGTTTTTTGGTTTGTTTGTTTGTTTGTGGATGCCTTTATCAAGTTAAGAAGGCTCTCTTCTAACAGTTCTAACTGGTTGGGAGTGTTTATCATAAAGGGATCCTGAATTTTAGTAAATGCTTTTTTGTATCTATTGCAATGACCCTGAAGTTTTTCCTCAAAGAACTATTCATTTATTTATTCCTCCCAATAGTTTTATGAAGTAACTCTAGGGTTTAACCCTGCTTTTTCCCCCCAATATTTAAGAACAGAAAGCACAGAGATGTTCAAAAACTTGCCTAGAAGAATACAGATAACAATAAATGTTGGTGAGGATGTTGGGGAAAGGCACACTCATACTGCTGGTGGGACTGCAAATTGGCGCAACCATTCTGGAAAGCAGTATGGAGATTCCTCAGAAAACTTGGAATGGAACCACCATTTGACCCAGTTATCCCACTCCTCAGCATATACCCAAAGGACTTAAAATCAGCATACTACAGTGATGCGGCCACGTCAATATTTACAGCAGCACAATTAACAATAGCTAAGCTATGGAGCCAACCTAGGTGCCCTTCAACAGATGAATGGATTAAAAAATGTAGCATACATCCACAATGGAATATTACTCAGCATAAAGAAGAATGAAATTATAGCATTTGTGGGTAAATGGACAAAACTGGAGACAATCATGCTAAGTGAAATAAACCAATCCCAAAAACCCAAAGGCCGAATGTTCTCTCCGATATTCAGATGCTAATCTACAATAAGGGGGTGGGGAGAATAAAAGTTCATTGGATTAGACAAAGGGGAATGAATGGAAGAGAGTGGGGATGGGAATAGGAAAGACAGAGGGATGAATCGGACGTGACTTTCCCATGCTCCTAGAGGAACACATAACCAGGGAGACTCCACACATGTACAACCACAGAATGGGAAGTTATAACGGTATGTATGCTATGTCCAAAGACATTCTACTGTCCTGTTCGACTGGGAAGACCATATTTAAAAAAAAGAAAAAGGAAAAGAGCCCTAAAAAACAAACAAAACAAAAAATTAAAACCACCTTGTCGGGGACCACGCAGCTAGTCAGGGCGTAACCGGGATTTGAACCCACGCAGCCTGGCTCTGGTGCCCGGGCTTCACCCCCAGGCTCACCACCTCTGCAGGAATGAGTTCTCAAGCCTGGTCAAGGAAAGCACTGGAAAAGCTTGCTAAGCGTTGGACGGCCCCAGGGCGACTCACAGAAATACTGGGACAGGTTGGAGTCGGTGACTTTCCCCGTCTCCCCCAACTGCACCAGTGTCTTGGAGGCGTCGCAGTTGATCTTCTTGAACAGATTCTCCACCGAGGTCTTGAGATGCTCCAGGGTCTTTCTGAGCTCGCGGTTTTTGTCCTCGTACATGTTGGCCTCCTCCGTGGTCTTCCTCAGCTTCTCCTGGGGGTGGACACCAGTTCCCCGGGGTCAGCCCGCTGGACGGGACTCTCCAGGGGAGGGGGCCGGGGACTCTCGGGGATCTGGATCTCCAGTCACTGGCTTCACCCCTCAGAGGGGGGCAGGACCAGTTAAATGGCCCCAGTTGTGCATTTAGAAGAGAGGCACCACACTGCGCGGGGCCCACTGCCTCATTCCCCTTAAGGTGAGTCCTCACCTGGGCTTTCTGAAAAGGAAGGAGCGCGGCGCAGGACACAGCTCTGTGTGTCACCTGATCGCATGGAATCAGGCCTCACCAGCCAGTGTCCAAAAGTGTTCTCTGTTTTCCTTTTCTGTTCCTCCCATCCTAGGAGCTGCAGGTGCTGGCTGCCATCCCATAAACAGTTCTCACCATCCATGGTCTAGAACATCTGCACCAGCCCAGTGGTTTCCAAAGCGGGGTCCCCAGACAGGCAGGGTCAGGTCACCGGGGAACTTGGGCGTGGTACAAGCTCTGGGGCCCACCCAGACCTGCGGGATAGGGCTGGGGCAGGCATCTGAGTCTCCAGGTGACACTGGTGCACAGAGAAGTTTGAGACTCTCTGGGAGCCCACTGTATCTCAGCCTGGGTGACACATTGGGGTCACCGGGGAGCTTTACAATATTTGCAACCTGCGCTTCACCCTCTGGGGGTCAGATCTCACTGGCTCCAGTTGTGACCAGTTGTGACCGGCGCAGCAGGGAACTTTGAGGACTCCAGGGATTCTGACCTGCGGCTGGAAATGAGAATGGCTGCATCCCATCCTGCCTTCCGCTCCCTGAGTTCTTGGACTGCAAAGCAGGCCTGGGCCCTAGGAGAACCACGGAGGGCCACACGGGGCTCGGGAGGTCACAGGCACAAGTCATGGTTTTACAAGTCTCCCCAGCCATGAGCAGCAGGTAGGATGATTGTCCCATTTTACAGATGAGAAACCTGAGGCTCAGAGAGGTTATCTCACTGTTCCAAGGTCACACAGCTAGGAAGCAACTGTTCTGAGAGCCTTCCCAGGATCCCAGTGAGGGAGTAGGCTCACCCCTTCTCCCAGAGGGGCAGAAACTGGTGAAAGGAGGGGTAGGAAAACCTGGGAACCTACTGCTATTAAGACAGATTCTCCCGCTTAGATATTTGCACTGGAAAAGGAGTCCCCAAGTCAAGCTAAAACCTAAGGAACAAAGAGCTAATGCAGGGACCATAGGCAGAGGGGGGCTAGCAGCCTCTCCACTGCCCCCCCACCCCGGCAATGCCTGTCTCCACCCCAAAGAAGAGTCTGGACTCTGGGTGGCCCCAAGCGAGGATGTGGGACCGCAGGCAAGTATTCTTCGTTGGGGTGGGAGTCCTCCTAAGACCTGGATCCTGCCTGGGGGTCTGCAGGGCCCCTTCGCCTTCCCCCCTCGCCACGGCTCTGAGCCCAAGCACCTCGGTGGCAGCACGTGCTCTGCTGCCCTCCAGTGGTCAGTCGGAGGATAGCACCTTCATCCGTGTGGAGCCGGTGTCCCAGGGACCCTGACACAAGCCACAAAGGGGGAATGGGAGGTGCCCCAGGAGAATGGTTCCTGGGCCAGGAACTCTGGATTAGAGGAGGACGTTGGTCAGACCTCCTGAGAAGTTCAAGGTTTTGACAAGTATTTGCTATCCATTCTCCCCTTATGCCTTAATGACAAGACCTGACTGACTGTGGGGTGGCAATGAGGGCCCCTAAGTTATATTCCAAACCTGTTTTGCAACATGGATGGCCAATGAGATGTAAATACAGAAATTATTTAGCTGAATCTTCTGGAAAATAACTTAAGCTGGTTGACAGATAGCAAGACCCCCTCCCCCACCCTTTATGTTTGTTTACTCCCCAGTTTCTCCCTGCCTGGAATGTATATGTGATGGCTGGACCTGTGGAAGCTATGATGCAACCACAAGGAGCTGCTGGGATTACAGGTATGCTCCAATCAGGAGTTAAATGACCTGGCACATTTGGAATGTAAGCCACGCACACACTCAGGATGGCAAACTAGAAAGCTAGAAGGAGCCTGGGCCATGGATGACATCATGATGGAACCCTACCAGCCCTGAAGTGCCAATCTTCCGATGTATTTAACCAGGAAACTTCTGTCTTGCTTAGGCCACTGTTATCTTGGGTCCTTGTTATTAGCTGCCAAGTACAACTTAAATGTCATAACACATCTCAGCTCCTTTAGGTTGGTCAAGTGATTTTACCTCTGTGAACCTCAGTTTCCTCATCTGTAAGTTGGAGAGATCAACAGCGTCCACTTCCAAGCACTGAGTCCAGTGCCTGGCACATAGTACCTGCTCAGGAAACGTGTCTGGATGTCACCCAGGCCAGCCTCGGGTCATGGGGCTAACAGCTTCCTGCTCCAGGTACCAGCTGACGGGCTGCCTGACCCACAGACAACAGAGACCCCCCATCCCATGCTCTGCACCCGGCTCACCTCGAGCTCCTTCAGGACAGAGCGGCTGTCATCGTGGGAAGACTGCTGCTGGGATCGCAGGTGGGTGATCTCATCCTGCCGGGGAGAAAATCCACTGTGATGAAACGGGGTGCTCCTCTCCCCTACCACACCTCAAAAGAAGCTGTGCCTCCAGAGGCCTAAGAGGTGTTTTTTTTGTTTGTTTGTTTGTTTGTTTTGTACCAGGGATTGAACCCAGGGGCACTTGACCACTGAGCCACCTCCTCAGCCCTTGTTATTTTTTATTTTGAGACAGGGTCTTGCTGACTTGCTGAGGCTGGCCTTGAACTTGTGATCCTCCTGCCTCAGCCTCCCATCTGAGCTGCTGGGATTACAGGCGTGCTCCACCACACCTGGTCCCAATCAGGAGTTAAATGACCTGTTCAAGAGTCTTAGAACCTCAGAGCCGCTCCTAAGCTTCGGAAGTTCTGAGGTTTCTTAATGAAGAGCAGAATGATGGTATGGGAGGGTGTGAGGCATCCATTCTGGAGATTCCCTAGGGGGCTGTCACCAGCATCTTCTGTGAATAGTGGGGACCTTCTACCTGCAGTAATACGGAGTGTGGTCATCACATATGGGTATTAGAATGTGGCTAGTGCCACTGAGGAACTGGTTTTTCAATTTTATTTAATTGCAATGAATTTAAACTTAAATAGCTACATGTGGCTAGTGGCTACTGCACTGGTCTGGGCAGCTCCGGAGCAGGAGTTCTCAGACTCTAGCAAGAATCCCCTGGAGGCTTGTGAAAATGCAGATCACAGAGTTTCTGAATCCAAGAATGTGCATTTCTAACAAGGTCCCAGCTTCAGAGACCACAGGGAAGCCGGGTCTTCAAGTGGTGTATGCCTGTAATCCTGGCAACTTTGGAGGCTGAGGCAGGACGATGACAAGTTGGAGGCCAGCCTGGGCAGTTTAGCAAGATCCTGTTTCAAAATAAAAAGGGCTGGGGATGTGACTCGGTGGTACAGTGCCCGGGTTCAATCCCAGTACCAAAAAAAAAACCCTGGAGTCCTCACATCTTTTGCTATGGCTTGTCCTTGTCCCACTGGGTCTAGAGAGACGCTCCCTCCTGCAGAGTGGAAACTCAGGCCTCACCTGCCCACTCTCCCTTCACCGCGCTCGGCCCGCAGAGCCCATGCAGTGCCGCACTTGACCACCAGGGGGCAGCGGCGATGCGCCGAGCCCGAGAGGCCTGGCGGTCTTGGGCGGGCCAGTAGCGAGCCTGGCGCAGACGACGGGGGGCGGGAAGAACTCGGCTTCGCGGGGAAATAAGGGCCAGAGTGGTCAGATCTGATTTTCCAAGAGAAACAGGAAATGCGATTTGCATGTGGAATATACTGATTTTTCAAACGTTGGAAACTAATAAATTAGCAAATTAGCAAGTGGAGGAGCAAAAAAGAAGGCAGGCTGCATTTGTCCAGTCTGCAGCCTGGGACCCGCCCTGCAGCAGGGGAATAAGGGCCAGATATATCATAAATAGTAAATATTTTATGCTTTACATCTCTCTGGATTATAAAGTATGCCATGGATTATAAGTGTCCCTACTGGAGATAGAGGGGACCCGAACCCATTAAATGTACGTCTTAAATGAGACACAAATGCCAGTTTCAGAGAAGTTAGATCGTAGGGGGAGTGCGGGGGACACACAGCGATGCTTGCTAGGCTGGTGTGACCTTGGGGCCCTTTTCACTTCAGAGTATGTCTGGAACATCCCAGGGAGGCTGCCCTAGGGAGGGCTGCTGTGGGAACAGGTGGTCCCAGACCCAGGCAAACAAGAGCTGTCCCAACCTGGATCCCCTGGGTCTTCTTGTTCATCATCTCCATGTCGTTGTTGAGCTCCATGATGTAAGTAAACCGGGCAAAGTTCTTCTCCTCCTTGGCCAGGAATTCCTCAATGAGCTGGCTCAGGTTCCCATCCTCCACCAGCTTCATCAGCCGGAGGTGGGCCACCTGGTAGCTCTCAAAACTCTCTCCCTTGCTATTCTTCCTGTGCCTTTTTGTCTTGAGAGCTAGAGAAGAAACAGTGACAGTGAGGAGCCCTTCTGCTCCGGGTCAGGCAGATAGCATGTGCTCCACAGCATGGTGGCCCTGTCCCGGGAGGGCGGGCGCTGGGTTTTTCCAAAAGATGGATTACAGGCGTGGGCCACTGCACGGGGCTTCTGTGTTTCCACTTCACCAAGACCTAATTCAGTATTCACCAAGTGCCAGACCCTGGGCGAGGCTCTGCTGACACAAAACCCTGGCCCCAGGGAGCTTTTCAAGGAGGAGTCAGACAAAGAGAGGAAAGAAAACAAGATATACAAGTAAACATAAGAAGAAATCCGCTTATTACCATTGCGGCTGGAAGAAGGCACATCAGGCACGGAGATGGGGGTCCTGCGTTAGGTGGGTAGCCAGGGAAGGCCTCTCTGTAGAGGTGACGGTTGAGAAGAATGAAGGTCAAGGCAGTGGCCAAGTTAGTCTGGGGACAGACGATTCTTAGGAGGGCTCAGAGCTTGGTGAGTTCAAGGAATGAGAACCTTCAAGGAAGTTCTTCTCTGAGTCTCACTCTCACTACCCTAGAATCACAGAATCCCTGAACCTAGACTTATCTCTCTGATTTGGCCTCCACATGGCAATCAGAAGGTTCTTTCTAGGTCTTTCTGGGCACATGACATGATGTGGCTCACATGATGTGGCTCCTCATGGTCCTTGGGGTCAAGCTGAAGTTTCTCAGCATCATTTATGATCTGGTCTCCTCCAGGGCCTCCTGTGACGGGTTCCCTCGTGTCACCTCCTCCAACAGGCCCACCCTGACCACCCTAGATAAAGCAGCCCTGGGTCACTGCCTGTCAATTACCCTCTTTTATTTTCTTTGTGCTCTTGGGTTTCTGAGAACCGAAGAATCAACTTTAAAAAGAAGTTTAAGAATCAGCTTAACTTCTGTGTTTTATTTTTATTTTTTTCAAATTGAGGGGTACCAGGGATTGAGCTCAGGGGCACTTGACCATGGAGCCACATCCCCAGCCCATTTTTGTATTTATTTAGAGACAGACTGAGTTGCTTAGGGCCTCGCTGTTGCCGAGTCTGGGTTTGAACCAGCGATCCTTCTGCCTCAGCCTCCGGAGCTGCTGGATTACAGGCGTGGGCCACTGCACAGGGCTTCTGTGTTTTCTCACTTGTTGGATCCCCTGAAGGGTCAACTCTGTGAGGACAGGATCTCTGTCTTATTCCCACTGTGTCCTTTCTGCCTCTCCAGCTCCTGGCATGTGGTCAGTTGGTCCCTCAGTGTCCCTGGAGGACTGACTCCAGGACCCCTCTGCACTCCAGCCCAGCCGTCCCACCCCCAGCCTTGCCTTGGCTGCTCTTGCTATCTGGATGCCTGGTGCCTGCACCACTAGTCTTGTGTCCCCTCTCCTGAGACCTTCGTTGGCCTCCTCCATCCCGTGTCTGTGTTTCCTCCCAAGGGTCTGCCCAGTGCGAAGTGTTTGTGTCCTTTGTATGTGTGTTTTCCAGGGCTCTGTACCCAGAATGTAAGCCACACGACATCAGGGCTGTTATGGTTTGGATGTGATGTGTCCCCCAGAAGCCCAGACGTGAGACAAGGCAGGAAGGTTGAGAGGTGAAGTGACTGGCTTATGAGGGCCTCAACCTAAATGGTGCACTGACCCCGAGAGGGTGGTAGCTGTGGGCAGGTGGGTGTGGCTGGAGAAGGTGGGTCATGGGTGTGATCTGGGGGTATATGTCATCCTGGGTGACATCCTGCTTCCTTGTGGCCGTGTCCCAGCTGCCCTCCTCCGCCACCCTCTTCCGCCGCCATCCTCTCCCGCCATGATGTGAACCTCACCTTGGGCCCAAAGCAATGGGGTGAGCCATCCATGGACTGAGACCTCTGAAACTGTGATCCCCAAATAAATTTTTCCTCCTCCAATTTTTCTTGCCAGATCATTTGGTCACAGTGACAAAATAATTAAAAGCTGACTAACAAAGGGTGAACACAGTTGTGGTCACTGCTCCCCTCTGGTCTCCAGCATGGTGCCCGTTTCAGGCTGTAGTCAGGAAGTCTACTAAAGATTAGAAATGGATCAGGTGGGTGGACATTTGGATGAGGGGTCCAGAGATCACAAAGAACATGACCCTGACAGATCACTCTGAGGGCAAAGGGCACAGGAGGGACAGGACTAAGAATGAGGAGAGTAGTGGTGGGGGCGGACACATCTGGGAGGGAGCCCTGGACCTGCCACTCACATTGCCATGGACCTCTGGGGGTCAGTGACAGAGCCCACTTCTCATGCTGTCATGGGGTCATGTGGAACTCACATGTGCCAAGCACCTAGGAGAGGAGCTTGCACAAGCTGGTGGCCCCGTAGACGGACTGGCTCCAGGACCCCTGGATGATTGGCAGATGAATAGAGGGGTGATGGACAGGTGAACAAATTGGTGGGTGACTGACTGGGTGGCTGGGTGGGTGGGTGGACACTGGCTGGGTGGTTGGACACAGGCCCAAAAGGTGAAAAAGCTGTGGGTCGTTATCTTAGAGGAAGACATGGGCTCCTCAGAAGCTCTTCCAGAAATGACTGACCAGGAAGAGGCAGGAAAAAAACAGGGAAGAATGAATCCAAGGGCCCGAGGTGCAGCTCAGCAGGTCCTAGGCCCTGGATCCCCTCCCAGCACCAGAGAAAATGAAAACCAACATAGCGGAGGGGGGGGGGCTCTGGGAAGGGTGTGGCCCAGCAGGCCTCCCTCCCATGGCTCCCCATGGTCCTTGGGGAGTTTCTCAGCATCATTTATGATCTGGTCTCCTCCGGGGCCTCCTGTGCTGTCGGCTGGCATCCCAGGACTCAGGGTGAACGGGTCCCGGTGCTTGCCCTAAGTGGTTAGGGGGCTCACCGCGCTGCACTGCCATGCCTGCCCTTGGGAGCACACGACTGTGCTGTGTGCTAGGCACAGGAGCCTAGGTGACAGGTCCCCAGGAACACAGTCTGTGTGTGCGCCCCTCATAAATGATGTGTGCCAGGTAAGGGAGGGGTCATTGCTCTGTATGGCTCTCCGTGAAGTGTGCACCTCTGGTCTCCACCCCTCAGGCCCTTGCCTCCTGTCGATTTTGTGCCCTTTTACTGTGATACATCACCGCCATGACTGTGACCCTGTGCGGAGTCCCTCGGGTCCTCTTGGTGAGTCATCAAACCTGGCCTGGTCTAGGACACCCTGACACATAGATACTGCTTGGGACATGTTTATCCTAAAAATCTGGGCATTGTTTCTCTGAAATTTGAATTTAACTAGGCATCTTTTTTTTTTTAATTCTTTTTTTAGTTGTAGATGGACCCAGTCTCTTTATTTATTTTTATGTGGTGCTGAGGATGGAACCCAGGGCCTCAAGCATGTGAGGCAAGCGCTTTACCGCTGAGCCCCAGCCCAGCCCTATTATTTTTTTGTGCTAAATTTGGCGATGCTACCACAAGGAGACTGGGGAGCGCCGGGGGGTGGGGTGGGGGGTGGGGGAGTGGTGGGTGTGTGGGGGTGTGGGGAGGTGTGTGGGGGTGGTATACCTTCTTTCTTTTTCGCATCCTCCTCCAATTCCATGCGGTCCTTCAGCTTGACGTGCAGGAAGGACTTGAGCTTGGCCTCGTGGTCATAGAAGGACTTGAGCTTGGCCTCGTGGTCGTAGAGCCGCTCCAGCTCACGGATCTCCAGGTTGTACTCAGAGATGTCCTTCTGCTGGCGGTCCTTCATGGCAGCCATGCGGGCCATGGCCTGCATGCTGCGAGGATGCAGGGGCTGAGGTCCCCAGGCACCTCACTCTCTTCCCTTCTCCCTGTGGCCCCGGGGGCTTCCTGTCTGGCCAGCAGCCACCAGGTCTCCTACTGACCAAGGACTTTAGGAGTGGAACAGACTAACTTACTGGAACAACTGGAGCTGCAAGCTCTAGGCCATGCACAGGAAGTGTGTTTTCCCATTGTCATCTCTGTCTCATCATCATCCTCACTACCAGCACCACTGTCATTATCATAATCATCACCAGCATCATCACCACCACCATCACCATCATCACCATCACCACCATCGTCACTGTCACAGCCATCACCACCATCATTATCACCATCACCATCACCACCATATCATTACCATCATCACCATCACCACCACCATTATGTTACCACCATCACTACATCACCATATCATCACCATCACCATCACCACCATATCATCACCATCACCACCACCATTACCATTACCACCATCACCACCATCATCACATCACCAAATCTTCACCATCACCACCATCATTACCAAATCATCACCCTCACCACCATCATCACCATCACCATCACCACCACCATCATCACCATCACCAACATCACCAGCACCATCAACACCATAATTACCACATCACCATCAATATCACCACCATCACCATCACCACCATCATCAGTGTCACAGCCATCACCACCCTCACCATCACCACCATCATTATCACCATCACCATCACCACCACCATCATCACTATCATCACCATCACCATCCATCACTATACCATCACCATCACCATCACCACATCACCATATCATCACCATCACCACCATTCACCACCACCATCACCACCACAATTACCATATTACCATCAACATCACCACCATCACCATCAACACCATATCATCACCATCAACAATGTCACAACCATCACCACACCACTCTCATCATCATCATCACCATCACCACAACACCATCACCATCATCGCCATCACCATCATCACCATCAACATCATCATCATCAACATCACTACCGTCATCATCACAATCACCACATCACAATTAACATCACCACCTCCACCATCAGCACCGTCATCACCACCACCACCATCACCACATCATCATCAATATCACCACCGTCATCATCACCACCACATCACCACCACCACTACCTGACAGTCACCGTGACCCAGGCACTCCTTCATCTTATTGACCCTCTTTCCCACCTAAAGAGATCCTACAATGATGTGAAGCGATGGAGCAAAGATTCAAGTCCAGATTCCTCTCACTCTAACACCTGCTCTCTCCACAGCCCAACTGCAGGCCACAGAGAGGCTATGGAGACAGTCCCTCAGGACCAAAGGCAGGGGCTCCCGAGGGGACAGTATCAAATAGAGGTCTGCGTATTAACTCCAGCACACCCTCCACTTACCTGGATTTCAGGTAAGTATTTTAGTGTCTCTAAGCCTCCTTGTCCTGGTCTGTAAAAGGGGGACCTAGGGCTGCTGTGAGGGCTAAAGTCACACACAGCCTCTGGCCTCAGCTGCATGCTGTCAGTGCTCAGAGTCATTGGGTTTATGGTCTAAGGTCCCCCAACACACCGCAGTGGGCACCTCCCCAGCACACCTCTGCTCATAGGCCTGAGAAGACTGCTCAATTGCTAAGTTCATGGTTTTCTTCTGCGACAACAGGCTCTGGCACAGCTGCTGGTAGATGTTGTCATAAGTGGCCTTCTCAAACCGCAGGTTCTCAATCTCCTGACGGAGCTTGGCGTTGCTAGTCAGCATCTTATCAAAGTGCTCAGTGACCTGTTGGAAGGGCTGTGTTTCAAAACAGGGCTGCTCTCTGGGCTGTAAGACAAGTGTCCAGAAGGCAGATGGAAGGTGGGAAGGTCCCACACGCTGCCTCACATCCCAGGCCATGGAACAACCATTGGGGAGCACCGGGTGATGGTGGAGTGGGCCACCAACTGGCTAAGTGGCCTTTGCTGGATTCTTTTCTCTGGATTTCAGATTCCTCAATGACTTTTAGACCTAATTTCCAGTTTGGGGTCACTACATGAGAGACAGGAACAAGTTAAATGACACCATCAGAAATAACTGGCCAAGCTGGCCATGTGGCACATGCCTGAAATCCCGGTGACTCTGGAGGCAGGTGTAGGAGGATCGCAAGTTTGAGGCCAGACTCAGCAACTTAACAAGACCCTGGTGCTTACAGCTAGATGATTCTCTGTGGCGGGGGCTGGGCTGGGCTTCTTAGCATGTTAAATATCACTACCACCCACCCCCAATCTAGCTGTGACAAGCTAAAGTGTGTCCCTCAGAAGGCAATGTCCCTCTAGGGGCAAAATCATTCTTGATTAAGAGCCACTATTTTAAATTTAAAGAAACTTAAAAGACCTAACAATTGTATGAACCTTGCTTGAACCAACTTTTAAAGGACATTTTTTGGTTCAACTAGAGAAATTTTAGTAGGGATGGGGTATTGGGTCATGTGAAGGAAATACTCATTTTGTAAGATGTGATATTGATATTGTGATTATGAAAGCAAATGTTTAATTGTAAGAGGTGAAACTGAAGAAATCAGGGCTAAAATGTCATGATACCTATAATTTACTTTAAAATACTCCAGGGTGAAAAACGGTAAAGCCATTAAAGCAAATCATTAACAATTATTAGATCAAAGTGATAGGTATGTGGGGGTTCATTATTTTATTCCCTCTAATTTTTTTTGTACATCTTCATAAATTTGTCTTAGTTTTTTTAAAGAGTTTTTTTTTTTTAAGTGATGTGGGTTACACTATGGGAATATGGGTTGGTGCAGTCACTATGGGAAACTTTATGGAAGTTTCTAAAGAAATTAAAAGTAGAATGACCCTATGACCCTCTTCTGGTATGAGCCCAAAGGAAATGTGATTGGCAGCTGGGAGCAGGCAGCCTTGCTCGCTGTAGCTGAGGCACAGCAACACCTAGTGTCCATGACGCGAGAACGGATCAAGGAACTTGAACACATGCATGCATGCACACACATACACACGATCAATATTCAGCCTTAAAAAAAAAAAAATCCTACCATTTGCCACAGTATGAGTGGATCTGGAGGACATTACGCTACGTGAAATAAGCCAAACACAGAGGGACAAATGCTGTGTGATCTCACTTACGTGCAGGGTTGGCCACAGAACAGAAGTCACGTGACAGAGAGAAAGACAGTGGTTACAGGGAGGGGTGGGAAGCTTCAAGTCAGAGGATGCGAGGGAGCAGACGTGTCAGATGAACAAGTTAGAGTCGCAATGTGAGGATGATGGGTAATAAAGTCCTACTGTGTTTGGAATCCCTGGGAAGTGAGTAGATTGTAGCTACTGTCACCACAAAAACACACACAACCATATGATGTGATGGATATGTTAATTTCCTTTGCTACAGTCACCACTTTACTCTCCACATGTATTCCAGAACATCACCAACTATGCCTTAAATATACATGATAAAGCTTATTTTTAAAAATAATTTTTTTAAGTTTTTTTTTTTTAAGGTGATGTGAGCCAGGCATGGTGATGCAGATCTCTAATCCCAACGACTCTGGAGGCTGAGGCAGGAGGATTGCAAGTTTGAGGCCAGTGTCAGCAACTCAGTGAGGCCCCTAAGCAACATAGTGAAACCCTGACTCGAAATAAAAAATATAAAAAGGGTTAGAGTGAATTTCTCCCATAGACACGGAAAAAGAAACAACTACAAAAGAGATTCCTGACAGTAAGGGCTTTGATCCCATCAGAGGTTTTCAAAGCACATTATGAGAGATGTTAGGTTTCTGCAGGGTCAAGGCAGGCTTAATTGAGGTAGCCAGCCATAAAATTTAAGGGAGCTCTCGTGGTCAAGTGTCAACACAGCATCTCCCCAAGCCTGAGCGTGAGCACCTCCTTAAATTTTAAACCCTGGACTCTTGGCAGGTTTCCCTGTGGGGTTCTCCAGCTGCCACTCAGGGGAGGGGAGGCCAGGGAACAGAGGTTCTTACTCTACACGAACTCGATTGTGCCATAAAAGATGTGACCTACTGGGAGGGCTCTCAGGCTCTCTGGAGTAGGCGGAGATTTCAGGGTCATGGGTATTCTGGGATCCGGAAGTCATCTTTAGAGATGGCCCCTAATCCACTCGAATGCATAGCCAGTCCTGTCCAGTGTGAGGGGAAGAGGGGACCAGTTTGGGATACAAAATCATATCTCTCCGAGACATAAGAGGGGACACCTCGCTGCAGAGTGCCTGGGTAACGCCTGGTGGTCAGAGTTTGGGGGAGGCTAAGAGTTTTGCACAGTGAGGCAAGGACCTGTCCCCCTCTGGATGCAGGAGCTGCTGGGCTGTGAAGTGTCTCCGCCCAGCCTTCCTCCCCCTTCTCCTGATCCTCCAGGGGGAACCACCTCTCCTCACTCTGCTGCCACACAGTTTAGACTGGGCTGTCCCCGCTCTCTGCTACCACTCTGGGGGAGAGAAAGCCAACCAAGAAGAGTCACAGGCCTCAGGTCCCTGTATTCCATTCTTCTAACCACAGTGATTGGCTCAAGGGTGGGCACATGATCCAAGCTGATCCAATGGGAACCCCTCCCCCGGGACAGGCATATTAAACCCTTAGGAAAGAGATGCTCCCTTTCTGCTGGCGTTTGATCATGTCTGGGGCTACCTAAGGATGACGTTTACCCAGGGGAGAGATGGACAGAGAAGATGTCCAAAGGACATGTTTGGAGCACCTGCATCCAGCTATGCCTGAAGGCTCCACTTCTACCTCTGAGTTTTTCAGTTCTTGGACCAACACTTTCCTTTTTGTCATTGTTCTTTGGGGGTTTTGTTTGTTTGTTTAAAAGTCAGTTAGCAATTTCGAAAATCCTACTTAATACAAAAGTCATTGTGAATTGAGGATGATCATGTAAGGCCTAATAGCTAAGAGGATGATGTCGTTCAACAGCACAACAGTAAGTCACTGGCTATGACAAGAAGCAAGGTCTCACTGCCATGGTGGAATCTAATTCTGCTTGAAGAGGGTAGGCATCCCCCGGACGGTGGGGGTGGGGGTGGGGCGGGTGGAAGACAGCAGCACATGCTAAGGTAGATGGGACAGAGTGTAGAGAGGGTAGATGGCAAACTCTAGACTGCTTCCTGCTCTGTGTGCCCATCACTGGTTCACCATCTCCTGGGTCCACAGGGAAATGGGTGTGGTCTGCCAATGGTTCAGAGGACGCCCTTCTTCACCATGAGCAAAGGGGGTGGGGGGAGAGGGGAGCACCCCACATACCCGATTCAGCCGGCTCTCCAAAATGTGTATCTGTTTCTGCAGTTTCTGTGGGTTGTTGGCCTTCTGCATTTTTGTGAAGATCTGTTTTTGGCTTGAGATTTTTTTTTCCATCTGAACAATCTGCAAAAGAGAGACGGAGCGCGAGAGCAGGCAGCTGTGTTAGCATCTGTAGGGGTATAGATTCCACAGTGGGCTTGCTGAAGAGGGCTAACGCAGAGATGGAAATACCCTTTCTTGTCCTGTCAATTCTTCTCTTTTGGATGTCTGCTCAGTTCAGCTTAATCTTAGTTTTGGGTAAAATGAGGCAATTTAGAGTGTAGGATCTTGGGCTGGGGCTAGGGCTCAGTGGAAGCGCACTTGCCTGGCATGTGTGAGGCACTGGGTTCGATTCTCAGCACCACATAAAAATAAAGGTCGGTCAACAACTAGAGTGTGGGATCTCACCTGTGCATGGAAATTCCACTCACCTGTGGGTATGGACTCTGCCTCCCTAAGCCATGGTCTCTAGCAGAAATGAGTGTACCCCAAGGGGCCATCTGGGACCTTGAGCAGGTGTTGTTTGGCTCTTGCAGAGCAAGCGTACTTTGGGCATTTAATGGGTTGGTCACAAAATGTCACACATGTCATGACATGTGAGGCAGCATCAGGCATTCAAGATGTGTCTCCCATCCCTTCCATCCCTTGGGACTTCCCAATGCCATCTGGACACTACAGAGATTTAAAAAAATGCCTTTATTTCACTTATTTATTTTTATATGGTGCTGAGGATTGAACCCAGGGTCTTGTACGTGCGAGGCGAGTACTCTACCACTGAGCCACAAACCCAGCCCCTCAAACTGTGTTTTTGTTTTTTTCTTTGCAAGAGTAAAAGGAGTACAATTTATTCAAGAACAGAGCTCTCGAAAGGTGAGAGCAAGTTGCCAGCAAACTGTCTTTTCCATGTAAATACACTGTATTTTTCATTCAATTCTAATAAAACACTGACTGATCCAGGAACAAAGTGACTTTATAAATCAGAAGAAAGGGCTGGGGATGTGGCTTAAGTGGTAGCCCACTGGCCTGGCATGCGTGAGGCACTGGGTTCAATCCTCAGTATCACATAAAAATAAAGATATTGTGTCCACCTAAAACAAAAAAAAATTTAAATAAATAAAATAAATCAAAAGAAAGCAGTTGGACTGAGGCCACAGCTCAGTGGCAGAGTGTTTGCATGTGGGAGACAATGGGTTAGATTTCAGCAAAAAAAAAAAGGGGGGGGGTGGTGCAGGAGATGTAGCTCAGGTGGTAGAGGGCTTGCCTTGCATGCACAAGGCCCTGGGTTTAATCCCCTGTGCTACACACACAAAATAAATTGTTCTGGAACTTTACCAAGAGTTGGTCACCATGAAAACAGCAGCCCTTGGCCAAATCCTGCCCACTGTTTGTTCTTATTAATAAAGTTTTATTGGGACACATCCACAGCCATTCACTTACGTATTGTTAAGGCTGCTGCCTTCAGGCTACTCAGGTGGAGTGAGGTTGTTTCAACAGAGACTATAACTTACAAAGCTGAAGTATTGACTGTTTGGGCCTCTACAAAATGAGTTTCCTGGCCCTGTTCCCGATATACCACACTAGAACATTCAAATATGGAAATAAATTTAATTGTAGTGTAAATAGATTTCTTTTATTTCTTCTTTACACTATAATTAGGGCATCACAATGATTTAAAGAGTAAGTAAGCGGAACTTCGTATCATCTGTGAATTACAACAGGGTATTTATTGGTTGTTGAAAAGGGGTCTTGGCAAAGGATGTCGAATGAAAGGAGCCAGACATGGAGACATACTTTGAAAGTGGCCATTTACATGCTGTTCTATATGCAGGCAGAACAAATCCATGATGTGGGGATTAGGACAAGGGTTCCTCGGGAGTAGTTAGTGGAAGGGAAACGGAGGCAAGGCCCTGGTTTTAGGAAAGTCAAGTTCCTTGGTGAAGCCAGAGAAAGCAGTTTCAGTGGAGGGGACGTTGCTCCGAACACTGGGGACAGAAGTGGAGACAGCCCCAGCCCTAGAAAGGGAAGCAGAGAAAGTAGAAAAATCTCCCTGAAACTTCTAGAAAGGGGGAATGTGGGCAGTCACCTGCAATCCCAGGAGGGTTATGTTTTGTGTTTTGCTTGGTTTTTAGGTTATTTGAAGGAGGGGAAGAGAGGGACCCCTTGGAGAAAGAGAGGTAGGTGGAGAGCTAGGGGGCAGTTGCTCTGAGGCAAAGTTTCTTGGGGACAGGGGCTAGGGAGACCTTGCTCCGGAGACCTGGCCTTGTAGACCAGGTCACCTCCTCCTCTGAAGCAAGCAGATATGGCTCAGGGTGGAGGGACGCAGGGGGAGACACGGAGAAGGCCTGGCTGCCACAATCTTGACATCATCCACCTCTGTCCAGGGGACTTCTTGTTAAGAAAAAAAAGAAAAAGAAAACCCAAATAACTTAAATGCCCTGTGTTGTCCTGAATGGAATCCTGGGAGTGAAAAAGGACATGAATGGAAACACCAGTGAAATCCCAATAAATATGGTAGTCAGGTTCACAGTCATGTGCCAGGGTGGATTTCCTGGTCCTGATGAATGTCCTAAAGTAACCTAAGGTGAACAGCAGCATGAAGGGCCTGTAGGAAGCCTCTGTGTTAGCTTTTTAACTAACAATTTTTAACTAATAATTCTGTGGATTTAGAATTATTCCAAAATACAAAGTTTACTTTAAAAAAATAGATAAATAAATACCCCTTGACTGGAGCCCCTTGGTTAGGTATTATGTTACCTGCAGCCCAAAGCATGCCTAACAGACACACTGTCCACTTTCTCCAATAGGACAATGAGCTGACTCTGATTTCAGATAAGTGAAATACACCCCATCCCAGCTGGCAGGGGAGAATTTTGATGTCTCTATCCTTCAGCCCCAGAGTCCTACAAATGCCCCCCCCTCGGGGTCACTGTCCCTTAAACCTCACTCCATAGATGTTCAAATGTGTCATTTCCACCCTCTGCTAGAAATGGGCACAGCCAGCTGCAGTGTGCTCAGTCTACACCTAGGCAAAGATCCTTATTCTCCACCCACTCGTCAGCCCCACTGAGAAGGAGCAGTTTGACCAGAGTCCCAGGAGTCCCCAGGCTAGCCTGAAAATGTCCTCTGAAGAAAAGTGCCCTTCGAGACAGGCGAGGACCAGGTCCCAACTGTATCAGGGGCACTTTATCTTCTGGGGTTTGAGCTGTGACTAAGGGGTGAGGCTTTCTGGGGAGAACCTGGTATGTAAAGAAAGCAAGGAAATAAGGGGTCACCACCATTTAATCATCCCTTCAGAGTGAGAAGTTTGTCTAGAGGCAGCTGCTAGAATTCACCTTGGAGGATGATCTGAAGCCCAGGTCCTGTTCTGGGTTTGAGGGGTCCTCAGTGAAGGAGGCTTTGGTGCCTCGGGGTGAGTGACAGAGCTTGTCACCCACACTGAGTCTGCCTCTGGCTGGGGTCAGAGACCCCTGAGCCAAGATTAGGCTGCTGAATTCTGGAAGCAGTTGTGTCAGGGGTCCTGTGTCAGCACCCCTGAGTTTCAATGCCCTTCATTTGTCCCCACACCTTCGTGAAGTCTCTAGGGCACAGTCCCAGCTGTCACTTTGAGACACAGAAAGATAAATCTATTGCCTGCAGTCGCAAGCTATGGCCAGGTGGCTGGCATGAAATAGCAATGTGAGCCAACTAAAAGAAAACACATCCTGGGTTTCAGGGGGAAAAAAAAAAAAACAATAACACAGAGTGGTTGCACACCTGTAATCCCAGCCACTCAGGAGGCCAAGGCAGGAGGATCGAAAGTTAAAGGCCAGCCTCAGCAACTTAACCAGGCCCTAAGCAAATTAGACCCTGTCTCAAAATAAAAAGGGCTGGGGATGTGGTTCAGTGGTAGAGCAACTCTAGGTTCAGTCAGTCTCATCCCCCTCAAAATAAAACAGGCTGGCAGAGTGCTGAATTGTGCATCTGGAATGCTTCCCTAAAGACCTGTGTGTTAAAGGCTTGTTCCCCGAGAGAGGTGCTACTAGGAGCTGTGCCACCTTTAAGAGGTGGGGCCTAGCGAGAGGTCTGCAGGTCAAGGGGGCGTGTCCTGAGGGGGCTGGCAGGACCCAGCCCCTTCCTCTCCTTCTCTTTTGCTCCCTGGCTCACCACCATGAAGTGCTGCCTCCACGCCCTGACATCGCTGCTCTGAAGGGATGCTGCCCTCTTCACTGGTTACCCTGGAGCCACCAGCCTCTGCTCCTCCTGATTAAGTTCGCTATCCTGGCCCCTTTGGTGTCTCTAAGGCAGGAGCGGCTCTGGCGATGCTGGGAAGAGCCAGGAGCCTTGGGCTGAGCCCAAGGAGGAATGGATTCCCCAGCCTGGCGCTGTCTTCCAACACACTTGCTACATCCTCCCGGGGCCAGGCAGAGCCCCGTGAGGCTCCAGCGACCTCCTGCAAGGACGAAGCTCTGTCCAGGGGTGGAGGACACAGGAAGGGAATTCTGGAGCCTGCCCGTCCTGGGATGAGACGCAGCCAAGAGGCTCTGTATGGGGCCGTGACACCACGATCTTTTGAGGATCCCACACTAGGTTGTCCTCGCCTAGTGCTTCTCAAGACCCATGTCCCATCTTTTCTTCAATTTCCCTCTTCACTTTTTGCCTCCTTCCTCACCCACCCATCCATGCTTATTAAACACCTGTTCCCGTGCCAGACAAGAGAAGGGCGGCAAGCAAGGCGGATGGTCCCCGCGCTCAGAGAATGATAAGCCAGTCTTGGAAGTGAGCCTGGGAGGGCAATGAGCAAGGTGCTCCCGGCAGGCTCAATAGGGCCATCTAGTGGTGAAAGATGAAATAGTGCCTGAGCTGGGACCTTAGGGATGAATAGGAGGTCACCAAGCACAGAGGATGGGAAGGGCACCCCAGCAGAGGAACAGCATCTGCAAAGGCCTGATGAGAAGGAGGGCACTGTGGAATCAAAGGACATGAGGAACGAACTCCCAGGTGCGGGTAGGGGATGGGGAGGCAGGAGGGCCACGGTGCAGCAAGGCCCAAGCCCACTAGAGCATTTGGCCTGACCGCAGAAGATCACTGTCTGAGGCAGAGAAAAGATGTAATGAGATCTTTTGGATTCATTCAACCAGTTAATATTTATTGAGAACTTGCTGTGTGCCAGACAGGTGTGGGAATGGGCATTACCACGGGGACTGGGAGGACATAGTCCTACCCTAATGGATCAGACAGACTGATGAGACAGACATTAAGCCACCCCGTCTCAAGGCAGAATTGCAACTGTGAGAAGAGCTTAGGAGGGAGGTGCCATGGGTGCCTTTGAAGAGGGTAAGGAAATGTGTTTCCCACCTGGGTGACCAAAGTCTTCCCTCCAGGTCTAGAGCCCTGATTGCCTGAGATCCAGTTTCTCTCCTTGGAGGGCCAGTGATTGACTAAGCTGACATGGTCTCTTCCTCTCCTTTCCTCTGTCTATGCTGAAGGAGGGCTGGAGCGGGGATGCAACTCAACAATGGGAAACCGCACCAAGGGCAGGTTTTTGTGTTTTGCAGAACCACTGCCTCAAAATCTACTCCCTACCCTTTTCCATGCCAGAGACTGAGCTGCAAGGATTCAAGATGGCTCCCTAAGCAAGGATTGGAGGGTTAAACAGAGAGGAGTTGGGTCTTCCCTTCCTCCGGCTTGCTCCAGGTCCACCCCACATGCCCCCTGTAGCTGTCCTGCAGACTCTCAATGTGCTCACTCACACCCTTGAAAAGAGCCCTGCCTAAACCCTGGCCCAATGCCTGCTACTAAGGGTGCTGCCTGCTCCCGGACAGCAGCCTAACCTGTAGAAGAAGATACACTGTACCCTGGAGAAAAGACACATAGAAGGCCCCCAAGAAGACAATTGGGGTGGTGATGGGGGAGCATGTGCAAAGACCCTGAGGTGAGCCAGAAAGGTGGGCAGGGATGGACCATGCAGGGCACTTCAATGCATAGTCAGGGACATGATCATTAATGCCACCCAGAAAATCTTAACTCTTTGCCATGGGAGGGTGGCACTTCCTGGACACCTGTGTGGATGGGTAGAGTCACATGACTATCTTGAGCCAATAAGGCTCCAGGGCCAGTGTGAGGCCCTCCAGAACTCTCTTCCCTGACGTAATACCTGGCAGTGTTCCAAATGGGTGCTGCCCACCCCTGGCCACCCATGGTACATATGCAGGAAGAGGCCTTCACTGTTTAAAGGCATGGAGCCTGGGGAAGGGTGGCATTCGCTGCTGCAGCCTGACCCCACTGCCCCTGGTTGATGCCCCAAGGACAGGATTGTGGTGTCCTGGGATTAAGCCCAGAAACTAGGAGCCCCGAGGACACAAGGGTGGCAGCATTTAGGGGAAGTCAGGAGAAGGACAGAGTCAGTCTGCCTAAGGCATCCTGGGAATGCCTCCTCCCCTCCTGCTCTGGGTGACCTTTGAGTCGCACCTTCTCGTCCAGCTCCACCAGCAACTCCTTCATGGACTTAATCATGGCCTCGTAGTCTTCCCTGGCCTGCAACAGGAAACGCAGCTCAAGGTAGTTTTTCTGATTCAGATCCAAGTTCTTCGAGGACTTCAGGAGACTCAAAACCAGGGTGATCTCATTCTGCTCTGCTTGCAGGGCCTGGATTTCCTTGCTGTTGGAAAAGCAGCCTGCGGTTAACCTGGAACCTCAGGAATTACTTTCAAGGAACATTCTAGACACTGTAACCTGGGAAATGTGTTTCCCACCTGGATGACCAAAGTCTTCCCTCCAGGTCTAGAGCCCTGATTGCCTGAGATCCAGTTTCTCTCCTTGGAGGGCCAGTGACTGACTAAGCTGACATGGTCTCTTCCTCTCCTTTCCTCTGTCTACGCTGAAGGAGGGCTGGAGCGAGGATGCAACTCAACAATGGGAAACCGCACCAAGGCCGGGTTTTTGTGTTTTGCAGAACCACTGCCTCAGTGTCCTTTGGGAGCCTGGGGAAATGCAGAATCTCAGGCCCCAACCTGGGACCTAGTGGATCAGATGCTCCTTGAGTGTTCCGCAGGCTCATAGAAGTGTTGGAAGCAGGGCTCAGAATGCTAAAGAATGTTCTAGGGAAGGGCTTGGCAAACCTCGTTCTATAAAAGGCCAAAGAGTGAATATTTTAGGCTTTGGGAGCCACGGGTCTCTCTTGAAAGCTCTGAATTCCCCTACAGTGTAAAAGTGGTCATAGACAATGCATAATCTAATAGGTATGGCTGTGTGCCAATAAAACTTTATTTACAGAGAGAGGCAGCCAGCCAGATCTGAACCCTGGGCCATGGCCTGCCAACCACTGTCCTGTAGGACATTCTGTAAGGATGGGAATGTCCTCTATCTGCACCATCCAGGAACACCCATGGAGGCTCATGTGGCCAGTGCACATGGGAAATGTGACTCGAGCAACCAAAGAACTCTGTTTTCGATTCATTTAATCAGTTGCAACTTCAATAGCCACACATAGCTGATGACCAGAGCACCTAGTCTTCTCAGCTTGCAACTGGACTTTCTCCCCTTCTTCAGCCCCTCCTGGAAGGGGGTCTTCCTTAAGGTGGAGAGAAAAGAAAGACCTCTCTACCTGAATCAGGCATTTGGTACGGTGGTTAAAGCTAAAGGAAGGTTTGTCTGTTGTAGACAGCTCGGACTGGGTAAGAGAGTGAGGTACCCCTAGATTTTAAAAGTGCTCCCTCTCAGGGTGGTTTAAGTGAGGGGTGGGCACTTGGAAAAAGTGCCCGAGGGCCCTGCCCTCAGTTCTGGCTCTATTTATAGGTGCTAACTGTAAAGAAACTAGACTCCCTGCTCTTCCACCCCTCCCTTCAGTTCCACCAAAGTGAAACCAGATCAAATGGGGCGAAGTAGCCACACCAGGAAGGAGGCATCTCTTGATGTCCACCAGGCGTCTATTGGGAGTCAGATGGCCAGGCACAGATGTGCAGGTTGTGGGCAGCACCACCCTGGAGAATGCCCACAAAGCATCACAGATGTGTTGATTACACTTTTCTAGGAGACACTTTTTCTTGTTCTAATAAAATCCCTACGTAATGACCATTTTTTCCAACAGATGGCAGTAAAGTGTCTTGGGAAAGGATGCCTTTTAAAAATTCACAGGGATGTCCCATGTGGACCAGCCCCGGCCCTGATTAAGTGAATCCAAGGGAAATCTAAGGAACCGTTTTCTCCATCCTTTGAACTTCACGCATCATCCAATAGTGAGATTTTCTAACAGTGAGCTTTCTGTAAATACTACGGATGGAGCTAAGGCATTAGATTCCCGCGGAGGGAATCTCAGAATTCCCGCTTCTGTTTGTTTATTCAACTCTAGGGAACACCTTTCTGTTGCCCAAAGAAATACACACACCGTTGTTTCTAGGGCAACCTAGTTTCATATATTCTATCATGAAGTTCCCCTAAGGACGCACAAATAGGGAAGGCCAAAGGTTTGCACAGCTCAAAGAACTCCCCCAGGCCGGGCCCAGGGCAGGGATAGCCACTCCCATTTCTCCTTCCACGGCCCCGCCCCACTCAGCTGATTGGACCATGAATAGACACGTGACCCAAGCGGAGCCAATCACACTTCCCCTCTCTTGTGGGACTTTGGGAAGGATTCCAGACTGTGGCCCTGGGTCACTGGCAAACTCAAGAGTTGGGGACAATCATTTTCTTCCAGCCAAGAATGAAATTCGGAGAGAGGGCAGGAAAGAGAGATAGAGGCACCAGAAAGCCTCCCCTGGGGCCTTCCCTGAGGGTGGGCACCCTGCTCCCTGGGGTCCCCTCCGCGCCCTGGACGCTGACAACACGCGCTTCCTGCTGAGGCCGCGTCCAGCGGGTTTCCCCTGGAAGTGGAGCCTTTCGACGAAGGACTGGGTTCAGGAGAAGGTGAGCCCTCGAAGCCCAACCCCGCTGCCCTCCAAGGTCACTCACTGCTGGCTGGAGAGCTTCAGCTGGCTGCGGAAGTTGAAGGACTTGCGACTTTCTACCATTTTTCGGAACTGCAGCCTCAGCTGCCGAAGCTCAGCCTCCGCCAGCTGCTCCTTGGTCTTCTCGGAAAGTTCCGGAGGAGTTACCGAGGTTTTTCTCCTGTGCTTCTTCAACTGGTTGAGATGGTGCGGAGAGCGAGGGGTGAGGTGACCAGAAATGCCCGCATTGGGGCTCAAGGGAGGATGGCTGCCTGCACAGGGCTGGCCATGGCTGGCCACCCAGGACGAGGTGAATGCTCGTCTGCTACATGGAAAAGCGGCCCTGGGTTGCCAGGATGGCGATATGTCTCCTGTCAACACTGCGTACTCAAGAGGTTCCTTGCTATGTTGGGAAGAGGGTATTCTTTGGGGCCCTGGGTTCAAGTCCTAGCTCTGCCACTTTTTGTGACCTTGGGAGAAAGTCACTGGCTGTCTCTGAGCTTCCAGGCTCCCATCAAAAAAATGACAAAGAGCTAATACTTGTGAAGTAAGTGTACAGCAGAGTGTCCAACTGTCCCCAGGAGCTGCGGTTACCTACCACCGGCATCTTGAAGGAATTGAACTTTTCCTCTGCTCAGACACTGGACCCACGGAGGTCAAAGCCAATGAGCGCACCTCTTTGTCTCAGCAATGTCCTGTCCACAGTGATAAAAGGAAGAAAACTTGTAAGCCACCCTGCTGGCGGTGCAGGACCAAGTGACACCTCCTCCCTTCCCCACTCTCCACAGTCCCGTCCCCCGCCCACAGCTTGGCACGTGAGGAGGAGGCAGATGGCTGCCTGGGTGTGAGAAGAGCCCCCCCTTTAAGGCAATGTTTGCCCGGAACTTGTTCCACTCAGGATTTATTATTAGGAGCTGGGCAGATGGTTCTGGCATGTCACTTACCCTTCTGCTCCTTGTCCTAAGGAAAAGGGGGCAAAGTGACACTGGGGTGGTGTGTCCCCTTATGGGGTCAAAACAAAATGTGCCCCAGCTACAACTGTGGGTGGACCCACACCCCTTTAGAGCAGGAGCCAGTGGCACTGAGTGACATATTTATCAGGTCATCACTTGAACCTCACCTGGCCTACTCAGAGAAGGGGGCAACACTGACTCTCTAAGCCCTATGGGCTGTAAGACTCCCTGAGTCCCCAATTCCAGACTCAGGAGCTAGGTTCCTAAAGCAGAAATTCTAGCTTTGCCACCCATAGAGGAGGGGTCCCGAAATGTAGGGGATTAAAGCACTGGTTGTGTGGTTCACCAGATCTCAGCTCAAATTCCTCCACAACCACTAACGAGCCTTGGGCAAGTCCTTTCAGTTCTGCAGAGCTTCTGTTTCATCATCTGGATAATGGGGAAAATTCTAGAAGCCACCTTGCAGGCCATTATGTGTAAGGCACTGTTCCTGGCACATAATAAGTGCTCAGTAAATGGGTTGTTCCATATGGTGAAGTGTGGTGGTGATTGTCTCCTGGGGTTTGCAGGATTCAGCATTCCCTGTCTCCTTGTGAGGCCCTGAATTGCCTGTGAAAAGCCACACCCTCCCTCTCCCTTGCCCCTCAGGGGATCACTGCTTCCCACCAGTTTTAGGATTGGAACTATGACTCTATATCGACCAATCAGAATGCCAGATCCCTGCCCAATCTGCATAAGCCTAGCCATCTGGCCTAGTATTAGCTCAAGGGTGGTCACGTGACTCCTGCTCCGCTAAGCAGAGTGTGGAGTGGAATTGAAGCTGGAACACTCAGAAGGGAGAGACTTCGCTTCCTCCCATACCTGAGCCTAGCAGAATGAGGTTAGGGATGACTGAGAGCCATCTTGCCTCTGCAGGGACATGAGAATAAAGCTAATATGGAAAGAGACTGAATCTTGAAAACATCATTTAAGCCTCTGGATTTAGCCAAGCCTGAAGATGCCTCTGGATTATGTCAATTACATGAATCAATGTTTTCCATTAAAGCAATCTGAGTTTTCTATCACTTGCCTTTGAGTGGTGAATCAGCCTTCAGGATGCTGTGGATAGGGGCTGGGGTTGTGGCTCAGTGGTAGAGCACTTGCCTAGCATTTGTGAGCACTGGGTTCGATTCTCAGCACCTCATGTGAATAAATAAAATAAAGGGCCATCAACAACTAAAAAAAAAAATTTAAAAAAAGATGCTGTGGATAGGCTGGTGCGGTGGCACATGCCTGTAATCCCAGCTACTCAGGAGACTGAGGCAGGAGGATCACAAGTTTAAAGGCAACCGCGAGGCCCTATCTCAAAATAAAAAATAAAAAGGTCTGGGAATGTGGCTCAGTGGCTAGGCAGCCCTGGGTTCAATCCCTGGTACCTAAATAAATAAATAATTATAAAAATAGAAAAAAATAATTCTGTGAATGAAGCCCAGGATGAAGTAGAGGAAAGTCTCAACAAGGGAGAGGATTTTTAATTTGGATTTAGAAGAACAGACAGGAACTCACCCAAGCAGAGAGGAAAAGTGCAGAGGGAATTCTGGGCCTAGAGAGCAGCCCAGGCAAAGGTGGAGATACAAGTGAATAAAAGGAGTGTTCAGAAGATGATCGGTACGGGAGTACAGATGGCCACAGCCAGTGGGGAGTGACAGGGTGACAGGCAAAAGATCAACCTGGAAACCCACTGTTCCTGAATGGCTGAACAGCCACCTCCCTGTCACTCAGAGTGGCCACCTGAGGTGGCTTCCCGCTACAGCTTATACTTTCCAGCTACTTGTGCATCCAGGCACAGACATGTGATGAATTCTCACCAATGGGATGGAAGCAGTCAACTCCTGGGCCATAACTTAAAGAAATGCATGTTATCCTTCCATTCTCTCTTCCCCAATAGGCGTTTATGGGAGACTGAGCCACAAGACAGATTCCCAAATCAAATTATGGAAGAAGTCACCTGCCAACCATGAACACCCTCATTGGACTCCTATGAATGAGAAAATAACTTCTGTGCACCATGCCAATGAAATGTGAAGATTTATTTGTTACAGCAGCTGGAATGACTTAAACTAGCTAGAGTTAATATCTTTCTTCCTAACATAACTTTAATGTTGTCCCCCCCTCCTCAATGTATCAGAGGATGAACTGTGATTGGTTTCCAGTAATCATGGTAACTCCACCTCTCTTTATCAATGATTGGTTTAAAGATTGGCATGTGACCCAGCTCTGGCCAATGAGACATAAAGAGAAGTGTATTCCTATTCCTTTGTGACAAAACAGAACTTTGTCCATGTTTCCCTCTCTTTCTTCTTTTGGAAATTAGGGGGAAGGCACAATGGTTGGTGCTCTGGCAACCATGCAATGACCATGAGAAGAAATATCATTGTAACGCTGAGGAGCACAAAGAAAATTTTGGTTCTTATTAACAAGCTTTGCTATTGCCCCTTGTTGGAACTGCCTTCCTCCAGGCTGCTTGTTAAGTAAAATAATAAGTGTCACTATTGGGAAGGCACCCTCATTGGGTAACTTGTTCATTACAGCCTAAAGCATTCCTAACTTACATGATCAGTTTTGAAAATGACTTTCAGTCTGATAGGTAATGGGACAGTAGTGGATGGCAATGCAGGTTCTAGAAGGCTTGGAAGCTAACTGAATTTTGGTAAATCATCATTAAAGGAAAATATCTAATGTGGGGACGTTCCCACAGGCAGGAAGGCAGGGTAAGGGCAATGGCTCCATGTCTCTACTGCCTCTGGATGAGCCCTGGACGGGGGCGCAAGCTGCAGCCGGATTTCCCTCACTGATAAGGTTTGGGCAAAGGAAACCTTTCATTCTAATGGGACCCCTTTCAACTCTGGGATTCTGTGCAGCTCAGTTTCACCTTGTCCAGGGGCTCTCCTACGTCCCAGGGCTCTTTGGATCCTAAGTAGTTCTGGGATGCACTGGTTGCAGAGCGAGACTGGGTGCACCTGCCTTTCACGGGCAGTGTGCTTTTGCCTCACTGGGCTCAGTTTCCTCATCTGTAGATGGGAGTACCCACACCCACGTGGGGTAGTGTGTGAAGCCCTTAGCACAGCCTGCTCATGTGATGGATGAATGGTGCTTGTCTGACAGGATTATCCAGTGTCTGTTCCTGAGATCACTGGCTGTGCTGGGTATTATTCCCTGGGAGCTGGAGCTCTCTTTGCTGAGACATACATGCATACCCAGAGCCAGGCTCCTCCAGGCTACTGGCTTCTCTTCAGCTTCCAGAGGCCAGCACAATCCTCCCCTTCTGGGGATAGGATTGCTCCCTGGTGATAGGTCCTCCCTCATCCTCATAGCTGGGTCTTTGGAGGATGCCCCAGGGGTCCTGGTCCCTGTCTTACCACCCTCTCATTCAGAGTTCTCAAACTCACAGTTCAAGAATCCAATCCAACCAGCCTTCAAGAGTTTCAGAACATGAATGGGTGGCGCCTTCTCTCCTGGCCACAAGCCCCACTCTGTGCTGCTGCCTAAATGTGCACTGCATTCCCACATGTCCTGTAATTGCTATTCCTGGGAGGAACCAAAGCCGTCCCACTTCTGGGGAGCAGAAAGTGCCAAGAAGTCAGAGCCTGGTCAGGCCACCTCAGGCCATAGTCCCCTGGCGAGCACCCCGTGAGCTCTTGGCAAATACGGGGTTTGAATGGATGGCATCCCCTCCAGGCTAGCTGAGGCAGGGTAGGCCGGCCCCTCCTCTGCTTCCAAATTCTAACAATCTGACTTTAAAGGATAAGCCAGGCCTGTGGAGGGTCCTGCAGGGACCCTGTCAGGCTCCTGTGTGGATTAGACTGAGCCGCGGCTGCGCAACTCAGAAATTGAACCTGCGCCTTGGCGACCAGCTAAACTGGGGTGCAGAAAGACACACCATTAAAATAATAATAATGAGGATCGTTATGGGAGGAAAATGGAAACGCGTCGGACGTTTTAGGAGTTCTTTACACACTGCAATTTACCGATGTCTGGTGGGGAACAGGCGGCTTTCCAGGCTCAGGGCCCCTAGGTCCGCGCGGGTGGCGGGCGGCCGCAGTGCTGCTTTCGCCCGGCAGGCGGCGCTGCGGCGGGGCAGGGCGGGGCACTCACCGGCCGCGGGTCCCACGACGCGAGCGCTTGCTGCACAGCGGCGCTGCGCCACCCCGCCCGGCCCGGAGTGCGGGCGCCTCGGCCCGGAGCGCGCGCCCTTGTGACGCGCACAGTCGGCATTCTCCCTGGAAGGCGCTGCGGGGCGCGCCCCCCGGCCCGACCTGCAGCTGCAGCGAGAGAGAGGGACCCGGGACACGCTCCTCCGCGACCTGCGGCGACCCCTTGCCAGGCTAGTCATGCCCAGACGGGCCCTCCTGGCCCGGAGTGACCTCGTGCAACCACCAGCGCTCTTCTCAGTCCTAGGCCACTCTTACTGAGGATTCCGGTCCCCGGCCACGCCACTCTCCATTCGCGGTCGTCTTATCCGCGCGCTCTCAGCGACCCTGCCAGGTACCAACTTCACGCGCAGTTAACCCAGCCCTGGTCCCGCTACTCTGCAAGAAAATTAAAAATCGATTATAAAGAAAGAACTTCACCAGTGATTGGGAGTCTGCCTGTTGTTTTCCTTGGGGACCACCCCTCTCCTGCCCCTTGTGACCACGACACAGGAAACCCCGGTCAAGGGTGACTCAAGGTCAAGGGCGACTAATCCTGAGCATTTCACTGTGCTAACAGTTTGAAAATTTAAAGATGAACGCTTTTCATACAATTGGCCCCAAAACACTTCCTCTGGGGCTAAATTCAATAATGACAGCGCTGTCAGGTATTAATGGAGGATCCCGGTTTCCTAGGGCACTTTTGGGTCCGTGTGACTTCCACTTCACCTCCCAGCCCCCTGAGTGAATTGTAGCTGGGCCATAGTAAGGGTTTCCACTTTCTTGTCCCTAAACTCCTAGGACAGGATGTATTTTGGTTTCAGAAAGGTCATACAGCACACATCAGGTGCCCCTGATGTTGCTTGGCAGCCATGTTGTCACCATGAGGGATGTTAGTGTGACAGTATGGGTATAGGGTTTTGGATCAAGCACACAAATGATTCTACAAGGAGACCTATGAATACTCACACCAAGTGGGATAAATAAAGATCACCAACAGCCCCCTGTCAGGCTTTGCCTCTAAATGATGATACAAGGTGTCATGGACACATGTTACCATCATTTTATAAATGAGAAAACTGAAGCTTGGAGAAAACAGCATGGCAGTTAGTGGAGCAGCAGGATTTGAACCCAGGGTCGCCTGTCTCTAAAGCCCCTTGCTTTACTCACCACCACGCTGCGTGAGCCGCAGCCCCCAGATGAGCGGCCCTCTGAAGGCTGGTCTCTGCCGTCTCTGGTGCATGAAGAGCAGCTCCGTGCCTGCGTGTGATGCACGTATTTTAAGTGTCAACGCCTGAAAGATGATGAAGTTCAGTTAGGTTCAGGAACTGTTAAAAATAGGCCTTCCTCAGAGGAATTCACGCTCCGTGACTTCATGGGTTCAGATCTCAGCCCCCCTGCCGGGGAGAGTACAAGGCTTTTTAAATTAGAACATGCTAGAATCCATTCTGCTAAAGGGATCTTTAGCTCCATCAGCGGGGCCTGGAGCAGAATGAGATGCCAGCTTGCCAGAGCGGTGCGCCAGTGGCGAGAAATGTTGGCAAGAGCGGAAGCCTCAGAATGGAAGGGAAATTAGCCAGGCTGCGGAGGGCCAGGCAGAGGCATCTGGGCGCAGACCAGGAAACCGACGCCTCTCTGGCTACCAGGACCAGGAACCCACACAGACCAACTCGAGATGATGCTTTCAGTCTCCCCAGCCCCTCTTCTCCCTTCTTCCTTTCCTAGCACACTCCGATTTGTTCAGGTCACTGTCCCCCTCCCATGTAACCTGTGTGCCCAGGAGCTGATTCCAGCCCACAGCTCCAGCCCCAACTCCATTGGCCAGCAGCCATTCCAGCTCCTTCCTCATGATTGGACCAAAGACCTAAGCGTAAGACAACCAGTGCATGGTATTCTGCGGGAGACTGCAACTGGTCCAGGGAGATGCACATAACTGAAGGTGGCCTAATTCAACAAGAAAGGTTGGTCCAGGATTGGAGGGAGATGCTTTTCTGGCTCCATGGAAGTGTGACTGCTGTTGTTGCTGGCAGCCCTCTTGTAATCATGAGGGAAGCCAGTGAGTGATCGAAGCCAACATATAATGGAGGAATGTGCTAGAGAGAATTACAGAACAATGTACCTAGAATCCTGATCATACCAGGCCTCAGACCACATATCTCTGCATTTCTTGTTATGAGAATTACTAAGTTTTCTTCTCAGTTTAAGACAGAATGGATTATGTTTTCTTCTTCTTGCAGCCAAAACCATGGTGAAGTTTATGGATTCTAGCGTTCTATCTGGTAAGCAGGAGCAGGTTCCCATGAGCAGCAAAAACCAAGAACTAGAAAACTGAAACCAAAGCAGCTCGTCCCTCAAATTCTCTCCACCTGGTCTCTCCACCTGGCCTCTTTTTTAAAAAGATTATCTTCTCTGCCTTCCCCTCTCCCTCCCAGCTTTCTCCTTATGAGTTCCATTCTGGAGCCCAGTTTATAAAAAAGAAAAATCAATACTTTAATCATGACTTCCCAGGAAAGAGAATACAATTGTCCCAGCCTAGATTTTACATTGGCCCAATCATGTGGAGCCAGCAGCCATGGTCAGGTGGCACAAATGCCGCCCTCCTCCCAGAATGTGAAAATAATTCTCAGAAAAGATGGCATGAGTGGACGAGCACTGTATAGAAGAGAGGACACTGGAGTCCTCCCTCAGTTGCTGATGTGCTGTGTGCCCTTAGAAAATTGGTAGGACTCTCTGAGCCTCAATTTTTCAAGTCTGCCAGGACCAAGTTGGGAACTTTAAAGCCTGCAAAGATGGCGAAATATGTCATCCCATCTACTGAGGTAGGTGGAAGAAATAAAAAGGCAGAATGGAGCCAGGTGCAGTGGTGCACACCTGTCATCCCAGTGATTCGGAGGCTGAGGCAGGAGGATCTCAACTCAAAGCCAGCCTCAGCAACAGCGAAGCACTAAGCAACTCAGTGAGACCCTGTCTCTAAGTAAAATACAAAATAGGGCTGGGGATGTGGCTCAGAGTTCAAGTGGTCAATCCCCTCCACCTCCCCCCCACAAAAAAAAGAAAAAAAAAAAGAACATAGACAAAAGGAAGGATGAGGAGACTGTAACTTTAATCCAAAGGCCTGGTCCTCATACTCTCACTCTCCAGATCAGTTTTTCTTCCAGAACTGTCACTCCCCAAGCCAGTTCCTCTCCTCATCCTGTCAACCCTAGATTTCTGGAAACCTGCAAATCTTCACTCAAAATCTTAAAGCTACTGAAAATTTACCACTCATCCTGGGTTGAGGTCCCTCTCCTGGGGAAATCCTTGGAGTTCCCCGGTGATACTATGTCATTCCAAATAAAAGCCACACTGATCTATTTTATTTATTACATAAATAAGTGTCAGCCAGTCCGACTGGATTCTGACTTCTGCCATCTTGGTGGTTAATGAGATGACCAATCATTTTAAACAGACAAAGAAAGAAAACAAGCTCCAGCGTCCCACTTCGCAGGGCCCTCCTGAAGGGGCCACCCTCCAAGTTCCTGGCCGTGATGTCACTCAGTCCTCCCTCCTGCTGTGGCTGATTGGATGACAGGAGAAGGTCTCACCAGGTTGGACCAATCAGAGCTTCTTTCCCTGGAAATGGAATTGGACACAGAACACCCTCTGGGGCAGCAAAGGACTGAGGAGCAGGTGATGAGGTGTCTGGCACTGGGGCTGAGAGACTGCAGGGTCAGGGCCAGGGTCACCATTTCCCACCCAGTGCTGCCAGACCTCTGCATTCTGGGATTCAACCAACTGTGGATGGAGAACGTTCTAGAAAAGAATCCTGCCTGTACTGAGTGTGCACAGGCTTTTTCTTACCATCATTCCCTAAACAAGGCAGTGTGACCACTGTTTTAGATTTTAGGATTAATCAAGAGGTGATTCAGGTACCTGAGAGGATTGCAAGGGCACATGCACACATACTATTTCCTGGGAAGGACTTGGGCATCACATATTTTGCTATTTGATGGAGGAGGGATGCCTCGAATCCATCCCTCAAGGAACACTGAGGGGCGATGGAATGCCCCACTGAGGCCACAAGGGCTGACCATGCTCAAAACTCTTCCCTGGTGTCTCCTTTGCTAATAATGCCCTGAGTCATGTTCAGGCTGAGTGGAGGACCCTGAATCACATAGATCTGAAGATCCCAAAGAGGCCAGCAGAGATCCTGAGGGTCAAAGAGACAACAGAGGAATTCCGTCCGTAGGTCTGGGGACAGCAGCACTGGCCAGACGTCCAGTGCTCAGAGTCCAGAGCATAAACTGAAGGGCCTGGGGATTTGAGTTCTGATCCTGCCACACAGTCACCAAACCCCCCAGGTAATCCACGGACTGGCTACCCAGTTGCCTTCAGTAGGCTGCGTTTCTACCTCGCCCAGCACAGAGGATTCTGTGGCTTATGACCAAGAACTGTCAGGCCCATAGGCGGGAATTCTCAGCACTTAGTTTCAGATCCTTCCCCAGGAGGATCTAGACCTGGGCCCCTCTTGGCCTCTCTCCCAGTGAAAGCTCGAGTCACCCTTTTTAACCTTGGTGACAGACTTCCCAGATGAGCAGGGAGAAGGGTCGTGCATCCTTCAGAAAGCGTTTTGGGAGCTATAAAAAATGTTTACCCCGTTCCACTCAGAACACCTAAATCTGGAGATTCTTCCTAGATAAGGCAAAGGGTTTGCAGAGATGTCCTTGCAACGTGATCTCTCCTGCGGCAAGGGGGAAAGTACAGCCAAGGACATGGACACGTGGAATGCAAAGGCCAGACCCCTAACAGCTCGTGCTGAAGATGCCCTTTATGTACCTGCACCAAATCGGGGAAAACTCATGTTTTCAGAAGTCAGAATCTAGGTTTCCTGGGAGAGGAGGGTGGAGAAGGGAGACAGGAAACCAGGCCTCCCAGGGAGGGCAAAGCCTCCGTGTCTTAGCGGGTTGCATGGATCAAGTTCACCTGTGACCGGCCCGTCCCAGTGCATGTCACGCTTGAATTAAAAAGTTTCCCGAAGAGACGTACCAGAAGACACTTTTCAAACTGAAGGGTGGCACCTCACTGTGGACTCCCCGGCCTTCTGGCTTCCAGCCAGGTTTGGCTGATGGGAGGGCCCGCAGGAGACCAGAGCGTGCAGCGGGGTGGACGTGGCTTTCCAAGTCCCTCTCATGCTTCTGCAGGTCGTCACGACGTCCACAGCTTCCTGCCACATGACCCCTCTCCCCATGCCACCCCTCCCTGGCCTTCAGTCACCCGGGCCCTTCTGCAGCCTCCTGTATGGGGCAATGGTGCCCCTCAGTGCCCTGACCTCCCGGCTCCATTCCCCGAGCCTGGCCCATGCTGAGAGAAGGCCCTTCTTTAACGTCTCTTGACCAGTCGCCTCAGGTTCCATTTCTTGCTGGGCCCCCTGACCATCACAGCCCCTCCTCACCTTCCCTTGTGACAGCAAGTGACCTTCTTGGGCTCCACGCTGCAGACACTCTGCTCTGAGGACAGCGCTGGGAGCCAGCCCGGGCACGGGGCCAGCATTAATTTCAATTTAGCACCAGGAGCCACGCCAGCTGCTCCTGTCTGTGGGAAAATGTCGAGAACTGGGCCTCCCCCCGCCCATTTGTGCCATCATCTTCTGCCTGTCACCCCCTCCCAGGTGGGGGTCAGGAAGGGCCCACAGGCTGGGCGAGGGTGGTGGGCAAGGGAGACCCTGGATGCATCGTCAGTCCAAGAGACACTAGGAACCAACAGACACTTGACCCGAGGTGGCATCGGATCCTGGTGTCCTTGACCCTAACCAGTCCCATGCACCAGCACCCGTGGATCATCCTGCTGTGGACACAGAACTGGGCCCCTGTGCCACCTGCCCTGCATGGAGACAGGCTCCTGGAAGGTCCTCTTCCTAGCCACCCGCATGTGCGTTGCGGTGCAGGGCCAGCTCCTGTCCTGTGCCCTGGGACACACTCTGAGCTGCCCTGTGCACTTCGAGATCCACAGGGCCGGGTTGAGGTGACCTGAACCTGGACCCCAGCTGCTTCCTTTTCTTCCCTGACGGTTTCTTCCAGGGGCTTTTTCTGAGCAAATCTCTTGTATCTGCAGCTATGGCTTAGGGTCTCCTTCAGGGCTTCTAAGACAGCTCCCTAAGAAGGGCTGACTCGGGTGGCAAGCAGGCTGTCCTTCTTTTGCCATTACCCCACTTCCTGTCTGAACTGTGGGTGTGATGGCTGGAGCTCTGGCTAACCATGATGCACACAAGGCCTTCTGTATGAGAAAAACATAGAGCCCTAACTCTTGGAGCCTCTCCTCCTGATTCTAGATGTAGCGGCCTTCGAACTATCCAGAAGTTAGGCCAAGAGAGCTCTGTGGCCTTTCTCACTGCAGGGAATTTCTCCCTTGAATATCTTCCTCCCTGGGCCATAACCCCTTTGTGCCCCTATAACTTCCTACTCCACAGCAACCTCAAATCTCTCTCCTCCATAATATAATGATGGTAATAATTAAAAAAAAAAAAAAGTAACGTTTGTTGAACAATTACTATGTTCCAGGCACTGTCTCAGTGCCTTCACACAACAATTCACTTAAACCTCAGGGTGGGCATTCACACCCCCATTTTACAGATGAGGTGACTGAGTCCTTACTTCTCGTTCTCCTGGACCCCTCATAGGTCAGACTCCACCAGGTTTGTCTCCTCATCCTTCTGGGCCAGGGAGCCCTGGGGGAGAAGGGAGGGCTCCCTCCAGACTAAAATGTCCCACCTAGGTGGTTTCCTCAATACAAAAGCCATTTTTACCCTGACACAGATTCTTCCATATGTCTTAGGCCACCAGTTCAAATCAGAGGCAAACTGGAAACCCACCATCTAGTCCTTGTTTTGTTTTAAAAAGTGAAGCGTTGAAGTTGTTTCTCTTGATAAATGAGATGTTCCCAGCTCTCCATGGTCATGACTCTGAGGAGAGGGGGCCACTTCTCCGCCTCCGTGGACCTTCTGGAGTGTGCCCGGGGGTGCCTAACTCATTTCCATGGGGTCTCCCACCTGAAGGGTGTCGTGCTGGGTGCAGTGGTAGAGGTTTCAGCCTCAGGACCAGGCTTTGGAGTCAGGAAGGCTGTGAGGGCGTGGGCAAGGCACTTAACCTCTCTGGGCCACACCCACCCCATCAACAAGGGGACCTGCGCTAGCTGCTTGCCTCTCCCCAGCTGCTCTGCTGCAGCCCAGGGCGCCCGGTCCAGGGTGTGGGTTTTTCCTGATCTAAGCAGAGCCTCCAGGAAAACAAGGCACAAAGAGGAGTCTGTTAGGGGCTCCCCTGGAACTGCCCGCCTTCACTTCCTGGTGGCAGGTGATCTTCAAAGATGGCCACCAAGACCAGCCCTGGGCTTCACGACCCCACAGAAGGACTCAGGAACGTCCGAGGGGCGGCCAGCCTTGGCCCTGGCTTATCAAGGTGACAGGACACAGATTAAAGGCAGCAAAGGTCGAAGTCACAGGGGTCAGAGTCTAGGAGAGACCAGGAGTGAGCCTAGCTGCCCCCTAGACACTGCTTTATCCTCACAGTGACGATGTGTGTCAACAGGAAGTTCTGCCAATCAGGAAGACACGCCCAAGCCATGGAGTCCGGGGTTTCTCTTGGGGGTCAGTCACATAGGCATGGTTGACAACCACGTGTCCAATCTTAGTTACTCAGTCTTCAACCCTCCAAGGTCAAGTTCAAGCATAGCCCATAGACACAAGGGAACCACTAGGCATCATCAGGTAAACCACTGGGTGTGGCCCAGTGACAAAGGCACTCAAGAGGTGGGACATTCTGAGGGCTTAGAAGTTATCTCGCAGGGGTCAAGCAAGGGCCAGCCTCTTCTTGGGAACAGAAAGGGTTTGGACAATGTCCACTTGATGAGTTAAACCTTAACCACAGCCTGCAGCTCCACACACCAAGAGGTGGACTCTGCGTCTCCTCCCTTGTGACTTGCTTTGACCAAGGAGTAATGAGGTCCAGCTGCAGGTCTAGGTCTTAAGGAGGACTGGCTGGTCACTGTGAATGGCAGCTGACTACCTGGAGACCACCAGCTGTGAGGAAGCCTGAGCTAAACAGGGGAAGACACTCAGGTGCATCAAGGGCCTAGACAGGCAATGGAACCTTCTGGAGCCTTCCAGCCTAGCGCAGCTGCCAGCTGCATGCGATTCAAGGAACAGTTGCAGCCAGTGCCACGTGGAACAGAAAAGCCACGTAGCTGTACTCACATCAACACAAAGAAAGGCAAAATAATAACCGTGGTACTTTTCAGCCACATAGTTGTGGCTCAGTTGGCTCCACAGCAACTGACTACTGAAACACTGTAATCTTTTGTTGGGACCCTTTTTTGTCTACGGTGTTGATGTCTGGAGCGACAGCAGCCTTCTTGGCACTATATAGAGTAGTGTGTAGTCTCAAGCTCACAATGTGCTGAGCAGAGAAAAGCGAAAGAGGGTAAAGATCCGGGACCTGGATGGTGCCACGAGTTGATAAAGGGAACCTGAAAACTTCCATCTCAAGACTTCTTATTTCTTAAGCCTCTGTTAAGCCCTCCTTCTGCCCCTGGTGGCCAATCCTCACTCCAGCGGATTCAGCAGATTGATTTCAAATATGGAGAAGATGATACTGGAAGGACACTGCCCACTATGTCTTTTTGTTCAAATGCTTTCACACCCTGGCGACTTAGGGACACTGGAAAGGACTACCCCCAGGATTAGCTTATTTCTAGAGAAAACAGACAGCTCACCTGTAAAGCATACCTTTCAGATGCAAACCAACCAGTCCAGAGCTCCTGCCCCCAAGGACCCCTGCCATGGGCCCTCACGCTCCAGCCCCCTCGCCCCTGCCCCAGACAGCCCAGTGCCCGTGTCAGAGAACTCTGCAGTACCCATACCCCAGATCCCGCCGGAAGCTCACAGACCAGCCAATCCGAAGCCTCTTTGGCCTGCTGCCCTGCCTCGCCCACCTGTTCCTTCCTGTGGAAGCCACAAGAAGGCTCGGTGACACCTCCCCCACCCGCTGCCTCCTGACCCCCCTCCCCAGGCTCCTCTGCATGGCCCTGCTTGGCGTGCAGAGCCCCATTTCTGGGAACCGGCAGGTGTAAAGTCCTTCCTCCACGACAGTCACTGTGCCTGAGTCACGTCATATCCGATGAAAGAAATCACAACAGGCACTGACCACAGAGCCCGGTGCCTAGGGCCCCCAGGCAGCTGCTGCCATTATTATTGTATCAAAATACAGAAGAGTCTCTCCGACTTGTGTCCTAGTTGGGGAAACTGATGTCTGAGACTCAGATGGCTATTGCCATAAGAACAGTCAGGTGTCTGCCATAGGTTGAGGTGTCCCCTTCTGGAAGAGCTAAAATGAGGGGACTAGGACCCTCCACCTTCTCTCCCCAGGCCTGGAGAGCTCATAGGCAGAATCCTGAGCCAGGCTGGTCTTGAGCCCAGTGCAGGGTGGAGGTAGCTCTGGCCAAGTCTAGAGGTGGACAGTGGGCAACGGAATCCTGGACAGGTCTCGGGGTTGCCGAGTTCCAGACTGGGCCACGCGGCACAACCCCTGCTGCCCTGAGAGCAGGGTGGGGTTTGCCAGGTCAAGGGCTGAGCTGCTTAAGTACCGGCTTTTCCTCACTCTTGGGTTTCTGGAATAAGAGGAGAAAGAGACAGTCACGGAGTGTGGCTGCAAGGAAACGGGTTTTCCGAATCTGATGCCTCAGTGCAAATCTCTGCCCTGCCTCTCACAGCTTGGTAGTCAAGAGGGTCAGGGGTCCTCTCTGAGCGTCTGTTTCTTTTCTAAAAACCAAGGGTAAGAGCTGCCTACCACACGGGTTCTCTGAAAACGGGTGCTTAGGCCAGCACAAAGCAAATGCTCAATAACTTGCTGGATTTTATTGTCCGGGAAAATCTAATCAGGGACCTCATTAGGGTTGATTGTTAAGAAGAGAGCAGATACCGCTTCTGTATCTTTCCAAAGACACCGGTCCTTCTGTTGGTCAGTGGTGTTCACGGCCCATTCCTTACTGAACTCAGGAGTGGTTGAGGGACCGACTTTGGTTGAGGAAACGTGGACGGAGGACACTATCACTTCTGGAAAGAACTGCTAAGAACCAGTTTGCATGAGCAGAGCTGTTCCTGCCCCGTGGTGACGCAGTTTCCAGGTCCCTGGTGGCCTTCACCCTGGGTCCCAGAGGCACCTGCGGCTCCGTGGGGGCCTGGAGCGCACCAGTCAGTGGTTCTGGCAGGAAAACGGAAACCACATCAGTCATCTTAACAGAATAACTTAATAGAGTCAGCGCACGTGGTGGGGACAGGGGAGGCCGAGGAGAGTCGCAGGCTGCCCAGGGACGCTGGGGGTCTGGCACTCACCCAGCCCTCGGCAACTGCAGGAGGGGCTCCGTCCCTGTCCCATTTTATAGACAAGGAGGTCCAGGCACAAGGGGGAGGGTCGCATCTCTAACAGGAAGCCCTGACGGTGCTCCAGGGTGACAGCGAGGCTGCTGATCCTGTAACCAAAGGGCCTGACAGGAGCCCGAGGGACAATGGAGGTGGCCTTCGCTGGTGTCCCGGAGGACCCAGCCACCCTCATCACCGGCTTCCAATGACACAGGAAATTCCCCGATTCAGCAAATCGCAGGTGCCCCTTCAAGGCACAGGGAGGGGGCTCCTGGAGGTCTCAGCCAGGGGACAGACAGAGGGGGCTCTCTCACTCCGACCTGCCCATCCCCCCGCTCCATGGGAAAGGCCGCAGGACGTTTCCCAGGTCTCAGGGGAGACCCAGGCCTCGAGCAGGAGGGGGACTTAGCTCCTGCCCACAGAGCAGGTCTCTGAGGTGAGGCCAGCGCCCCGCCCTGGACCCTGCATTCTCCACTTGCCTAGTCCTGGCCCCCGAGCAGTTCCTGGGGTAGCAAGCTGTGCCCTTGAGCAAGCCACCAGGCTTCCTCTGAGCCACAGTTTCCTCATCCGTATGACAGAGATAACGAGACCCCTCAGCCACAAGACAGGTTCACGGTGGCACAGATATAAGGAGCAAAGCCAGAGTCCAAACCCAGTGACCATCAGCGGGTGCCGGGTCTTCCTGCCGCCTTTGAGCTGGGAGACTCCCAAGTTCACCTCAGTCCCCCTGCAATATTCTCTTTCCATTCCTCCCAGGTCCCGCTGGGCTCTGTGTTTCCCACCCCCACCATGGCTCCACCACATGGCAGTTTTCCCAAGGAACCGATTGAGGATGTCTGAGCCACACAGGCAGAGGGCTGGGGACTTAGCATGAAGTCCCTGAGTTCAGCCCTCAGGTTCTGGGTCCCAGGCTCTCTTAAAGAGCCGTGCTATCCTCAGACAGATTTAGATTAATCTCCTTATCCAGTAGCTCAGGATCAGGCGGACAGTCGGGTCACCTGCTTCAGTCTGGCCAGACCGGATTACCCGCTGTGACCCCGAAATTCCCTCATGCACACCTGCTCCTGAGATCTTTGCTGGTGATGAATCACAGCAGGGCATTTGGGGACCGTGTGTTTCACCTTCTGGGAACATCCACACTCAGGCGCAGAGGCCACCCAAGGTTGGGCTTCACTAGACCTCCGGAGCCTTCAATCTGTGCCCAAGCCTCCGAGGCATCACCTGTCCTGAATCTGGGTCATTTTAAAGTTCCATTTAATTCCATTTAATGTCCCTGGAAATAAAAGATGATCAAATTAAGGGTCATCAAATTAAAGAATTTGAGAGCTACCAGAATGTTCTGAATTACCTGGCTTGGGGCTGCCTAAAGAATGTCTGCTGGTTTTTCCCGCCTGCCTTCCCCGGTACAAGCGCCCTGGTTTCCCGCAGGAGGGTCTCCCTCCTCTGGAGGTTGGGGTACTATCTAGGGCTCTGCCTGGCCAGGCCCATCTGCTTCCTCCCGCCGCAGTCCGGCTCCTGTTGGGGAGTCCCCCTCGGATTCTGGAACAGTCTTCCTCCTGCTCTTGCCTGCCTGGGCGCTTCCGGGTCCCTGTTGGTTCCCTTTCTCCCACTCACAGGATTTGTGACAGTCACCCAGCATCTGCTGAGAGCTGAGCATCCTTCTCTCCCAAATGTGCCTCCCACCCCCCTTTACCTCTCTGCCTTGGCCCAAGACTCATCTGCCCCTGTTCCACTGAAAGCACGGGGGTCACCCTCTATCTCTGAGAGTTTTCTTCTCAGCTTCAGAGCGGGGGAGATTCTCCCGGCACCCCTCTTCCCCACCACCTCGATTTGCACCGTGCGGAGATGTGGTGGCCAGCGCTCATTTCCCTGCTCCCACGCAGGAAGCTCCCAGGCTCCGCAGTCTCCCGCCCTCAGCCCACGGGTGCTGAGCCAGTCCAGATTTGGTGAACTGTGGTTTGCAGGAAGGCATGGTGGAGACAGGCCGGGGGTGTGGAGTCAGGCAGACCTGAACTCAAATCTGGCTCCTGCCATGTGCTAGCTGTGTGACTTGGGCAAGTGACTTGTCCTCTCTGGGCCTCTGCCTGACGCAGGTTGCCAACTTCAGGAAATGCCAATCATAGTGATGCACCAGGGGATGCCTCATATGCAGACTATGGAGTCCTGCAAGGTGGTGAAGCACAGTTGTCAGGGTTCAATGTGGCAAAAGCAGGCACTTGGCCATCATCCCAATTACCTCAGCATTTTACAGAAGAGGAAACCGAGGTTCAGAGAGGTTAAATAATATGCCCCAGGACAAGCAGTGGATAAATGATTGAGTCAGGGTTTTAATTCAAAATTTCTTTGAATCCACAGAGCCTGTATTCTCTCTAGCCTATCAATCTCCACAGAATTCAGTTGGGTGGAGGCTATGCCTGCAGACAGCCAACACTCTGCCCTTGGGCCATATCTCAAAAGGCTTTCTCTGAAGTACAGTTTTCTCCCCTTCCCTCCTTTGCCTTGGAGGCAAGGCAACCATTTACTTCCCCAAGGCTGATCCCACAGCAGACATTACTAATTGATCCTTGAACTCTTGCCTCCAGATCCAAGATGCAGCCCTCCAGGTAGACATCAGTGAACGAAAATGATCCAGGCAATACAAGCCACATTTATTGACCCTTCTCAAAATTGTAATCTCTTTGTGATCAAGGGGTGTCAATCAGCTCTGCCCACTCCCTGGCTCAAAACTGTAAAAGGTTTTCAGACCTTAAGGATTCAGGAAACTTGTGGATGGACGAACTTGGCATTCCTCCTCACTAACTGCATGACTTTGGGCAAATCCCAGCATCTTTCTAATATCAAAAAGAAATGGATGCTCAGAAAAATGAAGGGACTGGCCCAAGGCCACAACTAGTACTAGAGGGAACAAAATTATGTGAAGAGACAAGAGGATGTCCTTCACAGGGTAACTGGAGGCAGGGCCCATGTCACATTCTCAACACTGTCTGACACATGCTTAAGATGGACAGACTTGGGGCTGGAACTGGGGCTCAGGGGCAGAGCGCTTGCCTGGCATGTGTGAGGCACTGGGTTCGATTCTCAGCATCACATATAAATAAATAAAATAAAGTCCATTGATAACTAAGAAAATATTAAAAAAAAAAAAAGATGGTATGAGGAGCATGGTCCCTGCCCCAACCTCGCACAAGACCCCCTCACATTCTGTGGGGGTCTCTGGCCAAAATCCAGAGGGCCCAGAAAGCCCAGGTTATTGGCTCACACCCTTGAGAATGTACCCTCTGAAATATCGGGGCAGAGTAGCTGAGTCCTTTCTAGAACTTGGGCTCGATTCAGAAGCCGCGGGATAATAATGCTCTTGAGACCCAGTCAAGAGCACAGGACAGAATGACCTTCCCAAAGGACCCCTCTGACATTCAAAGCTGCCTTTTCTTTGTG